GTGCTGCAACAGGGCGCCCGGGGACAAGCTGAGCAGGGCCTGCGAGAGGGCCGGGCTGTAGGGGAAGAGGCCTTCCATGCCGTACATGGGCTGCAGGTATCCGCTCGGCAGGGCCCCCGGGAGCTGGGGGGCGTAGTACGGAGAGAAGCCGGGGACGAAGTACGGGAGGAACGGGCTCGTCAGCAAGGCCGCGGGGTCCGAGTTGAGAGCCGCCTGCAGGGCCTGGAGCTGGGTGGGCTCCACAGAGTACTCCAGGGCAGGCAGCATGGCGGAGAGGGCCAGGCCGGGGGCGGGCGCCTCCCCTTTGTCCTTCTTGGACCCCGGCAGGGCCTCCCCCTTCCCCTTGGGTGTGCGGTCCTTCTCCTTCACCTTCTCGCCCTCCTTGTCCTTCCGCGGCAGGAGCGGGGGCGCGGAGACCACGGCCACTGACGTTTGTGCTGGCGGGGGGGAGCTCAAGGAGGCTGGCGGCGTCTTATTTGGTGATCCCGAGGTGGGGAGGCCAGGCGAGGGGATGCTTGTGCCCGGGAGACCCATCAGGCTGGGCTTGGGAGATGTTAAAGCTGGAAGAAAGAAGACATGCAGGCTCAGTGGGGGAGGAAGAGCAGGATCTGGCCTCCTGGGTGTGGAGTCCCAGGGCCCCAGCCTAAGTGGTTGGCATGGGCCCTGCCGGAGCAACCCACATCCCACCCCCAGCATCCCACTGGACAGGGAGCAACTGGCTGGGGCAGACCCAGTTCCAAAAAGGCTTTGGCGCTCCAAAGTCTGCCAGCCGAGGAAAGAGCTCGATCTGAAAATCCTTCAGCGTCAGCACTCCAGCAATACGCGCAGAACGGCAGAAACAGAGCCCTCCCGCACCCCTCGAGCCGACGGAGCTGGCTCTGCCTTCTGCCAAGAGGAGAGGCCCTGAGGCTGGGCACCGCAAGGGCACCGTCTGCCTGCCAGCTGGGAGGAGGGGCTGATCAGGCACCAGGCAGGAGGACCCGATCCCCGCTTTCTTGCTCCCTTCTGACCCCCTTCTCCCGATGCCGAAAAGATGCAAGTTCCCCCTCCCCGACAGGTCTACTTAAATATGATCATTTTGGCTTAGCTGCTTTGACCAAGTGTTTCCTAACCAATGACTTTCAATGAGCAAAGATATTTAAAGGTCACAGATGTATCCTCACTTGCTTGCTTTGTCAACATCTACCTCCGGCTGCATTTTTTTTCCTATTTCCTTTTGTTCTTTTCTAATTCTGTAGTTTTAGAACTGTCCTGATGTTTGTTTGTTCAGTAAGCCCTCTGCTCTCCCCAGGCCTTCTTGGGGTTCTCCACTGCCGCTTCATGCCCCGCCAGCCCCGCCTCAGAGCAGTCTCCTCTGGGGGACCCCACTTGCAGGCCAGTCTGAAAGGCTCCAGAGCATCTTGCCAGATCAGGAAGGTGGGCCTGAAACCACAAACGCAGCTACGACCACGGAAGTGACTCCATTCGATCAGGTGATGCATGGACGGGGGAACAGCTACTGGGAGGGATGCTCCCCGCGTGAAGCTGCCACGAAACAGGCAAGCTTTGTCAGAAAACAAATAAATATCCTAAAGCTCTTACAGAAATGTGTATTGCTGCTATCCTGGAATGCCAGGCATAGGTGGAGGTCAGAGCACGGGGGAGGCCAAAGCCATTTAAGAAAGCGTCTGAGCAGCGTGCCCTTGGTGAGGAAAGACTGCCACAAAACACATCTGGGAAATCTTCACTCCTCCCAAAATAACTGCGGAGGCAAGTGAGATCAAAGACGTGCCAAGCGGCCGTTGATGGGTGAAATGGCTGGTGGGGGGGCTGAGCTGCGGGCAAACTGGCCTCTCCCATACCAGCAGAGGTCATCCTGGTCTAAAGGGTCAATAAGAGGTGGACCAATCTTTCCCACGAGTGATATCCCTGTCAACGAGATCCCCGTCTCTTCCCAGCCCGTCTCACTCTGTGGGCAGAGAGCTGATCGGGGGGCAGGATCCATCTGCCCCCATCATCAGCGTCTCCTGTTCTCTGTTGGAAGAGGCCTTTGGCTCTCAAGCCAATGAGGCCCACCCACCCGAGAGGGGATTCCTTCTGCTCCAGGGGATCCCTCCAAGCTCCAGCCATGTTCCGCCCCCCACCCCGGTTCCAGACTGCCAAAAGGAGAAGCCCACGAGGCAGGTGCAGCTCACCTGTATTGGAAGGAGTGAAGCCGGGCAGCGATGGGCTGTTCAAGCCTGGCAACAGGACAGGAGGGATGCTCTGAAGGGCTGCGGGGTAGCTGGCAGGAATGTTCAAAGCCTGCAGAGGGGGACTGTCAAACACGCCTTGCTGCTGAGCGGCCAAGCCAAGGACTTCATTGGCCTTCTTGATTCGGTCCAGCTCTTGCTGAGCCATCAGCTGGCGGACGGTGGCTGGGTCAAAGTACTCCTTCTCTTTGTCCAGCTGGCTCCCAATGGTCTCTTTCACTTTGGAGATGTGCTGCTGAGAGAAGATATGGTCACGAACAGACAGGCGGGCACTGTACTTGATGCCGCACAAGGTGCACTCTGTTTTTGGCCCCTCGTAGCCAGCTTGATTAATGCCGAAGTGCTTGGCCATGTTGAGCTTGGATTTCTTCTCTTTGGCTCGGGCGTTCTGGAACCAGACCTGAACAACTCTCTTGGGGAGCCCGATATCGTTGCCCAGAACCTCGCACTCCAACATGGTTGGGGTCCTGTAATCGCTAAAGCAGGTCTTCAGGACTTTCAGCTGGAGGTTGGTCATCTGCGTGCGGAAGCGCTTCTGCCCCGGCCGATCCCCACCATCCCCGGATTTGCCCGCTGAGCTGCTTGTGCCTGGACTAGGAGAGCAGGGGTCCGCCAGGCTCGATGTCTCACTGTAATCCACGGTGCCTTCGTTGTCACACTCCTTGCTGTAGAAGCTGGGCGCTGGGCTCACCAGGCCTGAAGAGAGCCGGTCTTCGTATTCCGACATGGCTAACATGGCAGCCTTGGTGAGACCCTCACTTGGCCCCGAGGTACATCTGCCTTCTGTGGACACCCCCGTGGCACTGTCGTTATCTGCATTGCCCTCATCCCCGGTCGTGGTGTCTGTGATGGCTGTGTTGACGGAGGAGCAGTCGTCATTGTCCAGCTTGGCCTGGTCAAAGCTCAGATGGACAGAGGACATCGAAGGGCTCTCAAAGTCTTCAATGCCTTCCACTTTGATGGAGGACGGGCTCAGCAGTGTCTGAGGAGACAGCTCTAAAGATTTGCTCACGGGGGAGAGGGGAATGCCCTGGCCATCACTGCTACTGCCAGGGGCAGGCAGGTGTGCGAAGCTGGCCCCGTCAAAGAGGTCTCCCTTCCCCATAAGCCCTCCTCCTTCGCAATCCAAAAGCATGGCTGATAAGGTCAGGTTGTATCCTGCCCGCTTGGCTTCATGCCAGTGCCGAGAGCGGATATGTGCTTCCAGGGCGGTCTTGGCTTTGAAGAGGGCCCGGCAGAAAGGGCAACGCCGATGGGCTTGAGCAGGCCCCACTGCTCTGAACTGCCCTTTCCTTTCCCGGGCCCGTGTGTTCTGGAACCAAACCTGCACCACACGTTTCTTCAAGCCCACTTCATGGGCAATGTGATCGAGCATCTTCCGCGTGGGGTTAGAGTCTAGAAGGTACTTCTGGTATAGAACTTCCAGCTGCTCAGGGGTGATGGTTGTCCGGAGGCGCTTGTCCCGCTGGGGCTCCTCTCCACTGTCGTTCCCGACAGGGCTCACGCCGGCTTTCTCCTCCAGCTTCCTCTTCAGGGTGCTCGTGGTGGAGATCGGGGTGGAGGGTGAGGTGGCTGAGCTTATGGGCAGTTGGGGGAGTGTCCCAGATAACAGCTGGCTAGCCAGCAGGGGGTTACTGGGGTCAAAGAGCATAAAGGGCAGATCAAACGTCCTATCCAGGAACTGAGGATGGAGAAACTGGCTCTGAGTGCTCAGGAAATGCAGCTGCTGATGTTCTTGCCAATGCTCAAAGGAAGGGAAGGCCAGCTTGCACTGGTCACACTGATACGGAACAAGCTGAGGAGGCAAGTTGGCCGGCTGCTGGGGACCCGGCGCATGAAGAGGCTTGAGAGGCAGGTGAGAAAGCTGGGAGGGAGATGGGCTCGACTGTGGCAGGCCACCCTGGAGAGGCTGGACCAGCTGCTGCTGCTGGACGGGCGGGGAGACCTTTGGGTGCACCGAGCTCGGCTTTGGCTCTCCTTGGTCCTGCGGTGGCGGCGGCCCATCCTGCTTTGGTTGCGTTTGCTTCTCTGAAGTTTGGTTTTGTTGCATACTTGAAGGTTCAGGGTGCTTTGGTTTCTCGTCAGTAGCATTTGTTTTAGATTGACAGGCAGTAGAGCAATCACTATCTGCCTCGGGCATAATCGGTGACAGAAAGGCTGCATTTGCAGAAGAGGTGGGGGTGCCATAAGCCTGGGAAGGCATTGGGGTGCTGCAGGAGGAACTGTTGGGAGTCAGGAGCTCTGTAGCATCCATGGAGTCTTCGTTCTGACTGTCCTCCTGCCCATCTTCGTCTTCATCCTTGTAGCAGAGCTTTTTCTGATGCTTGATAAGGTCAAAGATGCGCTGGAAGACGAGGCTGCACTTCTTGCACTGGTAGTTTAGACTGCTCGTTCGGATGTATCGGTCATTCGTCAGCTCCCGTCGTTCCCCGTCTTTGCCTTCTCCCTGATTCTCGTAATTCTTCCTGGCTTTCTGGCGAGCGTTCTGAAACCACACCACGATCACACGAGTTGGGAGGCTCAGCAAGTTGGAAAGCTGTTCAAACTCGTCATCCTTTGGATAAGCATTGGCATCGAAGAAGTCCTGCAGCACCCGAAGCTGGTAGTCAGTAAAGCGAGTTCGGGAGGACCTCTTGCTTCCCCAGTACTCTTGCTTCTGAGGCTCTGGAGAGGGGGGCCGAGAATCTACCTTCAGGTCCTCCAGGCTGGTAATCGGAGGGTTGCTGAAGTTGTACGGCGAGTCCTTGTTGCGTTGGCGCTCTTTGAAAAGCGTGTTTCGGAACCAATGCTTGATCACCTTCTGGGGCAAGCCAGACTTGTCCGCCATCTCCTTGATCTGCTCCTCGCTTGGAGAATTGTTGATGTCGAAGTACTGCCTTAAGACCCGGAGCTGGTCATCAGTGATGCGTGTCCGCGGCCTTTTATTCTGCTGCTGCTGCTGCTGCTGCTGCTGCTGCAACAGGCCTGGATTGAGCTGGTGCTGGTACAGCTGGGCCAGCTCTGCTGGCAAAGGGTCAACAGGGGCAAGCTGGGGCGGTAACTGGGCTGGCAGGGCTGGCAAAGGCATGGTTGGCATCATGAGTGGTGAGAAGAGAGGCAGCTCCATGGGCATGGCGAGCTGCGTGAGGGGCAAGGAGGGCTGGGCAGGTGTGATGGAGGGAGAGGTCATGGGGGGGCCTGAAACCTGGAGGGCGGGCGTGGGAGGCTGCTGCGGGGGCGCAGCAGGCAGGGAGGG